AATAGGGTCCAGGTTGAAGTCCCATTCACATGGGAGTAGTATTACAAGAGGACATCATGTGATAGAAATGAACCCCTCATGTCTGTATTCATGAGGGATAAGCAAAGTCTGTATTTTAGTCGAATTTACTGACATTATACCTCGAATATGATGTCAAGGCTCTGCATAACATCTGCTTCCTAAACAGCACAAGCAATGGCTGCTGAAAGAAACAAAAATGTTACTCATTGCACGCTGTCTTGGGTGACATCCATCTCATCATCTTTCGAGATTTTCGATTTTCCGATGGATTTTAACATGCTCTTTGAGGGAATGGGTTTTCATGCTGTGTAGCGAGATGAGCCTCCTGCATTTGCACCCAAAATGCTGTCAAAACGTTTATTTACAAAGTCCAATGCAGCCTTCATGATCCTCGACCACTAAAGAGGAAAAAAGGAGCAAGGAAAAAAGAAAATCCTGGGGGAAAAACGACCGCAAATCACAGAGATGCTGATTCACACATGACCTCTGTGTTTGGCGAAATTTGGTAGTTAATCTGTGGTGGAATTTTTATTTGACGTATTACGGACATGGCAAATTAACATATTAGGATGACAGACAACCTTATACTTGTACTTATCACAAATTATTTATAAGGTAATATTAGTCTTGTGTGAATAGGGCTAACGGATGGTAGACAACTTTTTTAGGATGTGGGCATCTATCAGCCATGGGGGAGCTAACAAGAACATGCCATCTAGTTGCATTATTGGGGTTGTTGGACAGGGATTGACCCATACTACAGACTGAAAGTCAAGATGTCTCCCACTGCTGCATTGATTTGGACCAGTCTCTTTTCAATCTGTGTCTCCCTGGTCATGCAATTTGCAATAATAAACCACTGGCCAACCTGCATTATTTTATTTTTTGGCCACACAGTGAACATTTTAGCAAACAACTGCCTATTTACACATCCAGCAGGCACAGAGCAACATTAGCATTTGTTTCTAGCTAATCTAAGTCTGATATTTATTCTCCATTAAGCTGTTTTGGTCTCTGCTCTAATGCACCGCTATGTTCACAAGCTACTTGCTAACCTTACCTCTCTACCATTTTGTGCAGGGCACGTAGTGTACAGTGGGTTTATCTAAAAAATCTGAAAACAGCTGCAAGCTGCTGCGGGCCACAAGGTTGATGAAGTCAAAGGAGTGTGTGTTTTTTGGTGAGACTGAACCATAACAGTAAAATTGCAGGCTTTAAAACCATAGCAATGAGCAGAGAGACAATAAAATGCTCGGCAGAGCTGAGGGGAACTGCAGTTTGGTGATAATTCTCTGTGGGTTTGTTACTACAAGCGACGCCTTTCACATTACACAAAGTCACTTTTTTTTTTCCATTCCTGATAAAAAAATATATTGTGCTGCTTTGAATTCTGTTTTGTGAAATGTGCTGTATCATTTAATTCACAGTTTAGAAGTCGTGTGTGCCAACAAGGAGCTTGTAACTACAACCTCTTAACCCTGGCCTGACCCTAATTTGACCTATGGTTATATCAACATCAAGTCATGTGTTTTTGTTATAGTGAATAGTTCACTCATTTTCCTCATTCCGATGTGAGTTATGGATAAATGTCAGCTTGAGATTGCCAATAGAGTCATACGATTTAAGAACCAACTCTTTGGTTTAACTCCCGAGCAATTCCATTGCATTTGATATGTTAAATCACGACATAAAGGCCCGCTGGAGCACTGTAATCTGACTCCACTTAAAACGCCAGATGAAGCAGTACTTGTCCTACTTTAGGTTTTAAGTGGAGCTAATTTTTTATGTAGTTTAGGCTTAAAGTGTGGCTTGATTTTCTATCCTGTGTGCGTCTCCTCTCCATCTCTTATCTTGCTGTCTCATGTACAGGTTGCTGGGTGAGAGCACAGAGACCATAACTGTTATTTAATAATACTTATTCTGCTGTAGGCCCTTATTCAGTCTTTTTACTGGTTTTATTCACCTGGTCCGTTTGTCTTGGAGAGGAGGAGGCCTCTGAGGATAATTTGGATCCTGGTGAAAACCTCCTGAACAATGAACACTGAAGGGATTCTAACTGGGAGAAGTTTCAGCTGGTTACAATCTGCAATACCCATCGCTAGATGCCACCAAAGCCCCCTAAATCTTACACGCTGTTCCTTTAAGAATCTCAAGAGCAGCAGGTCACTTTTGAAAGCTTGGTTGAATTATGCAGCCATGTGCGCATCCTCTCAAAATGCTTCATCATCCTCGCGGGGGCAGATTAGATGCCTATCCCTTGTGTAAACTCTTAAACGTCAGACACACACATGCAGATGTTGTAAACAAGTTCAAGTTGTTTACGCAAAATTGTGTCATGTCGCTCTGAGGGTCCCTGCTGCCGACTTGACCTGCAATAACCCCCTTAACATTCTGGGCAAACTTTGATCAGCGCTGCATACACACCTCGAAAGAGTAAACATGTTTACAGAGTTAAATTTGATCTTCTCTAGAAAAATTACACCAGTGATGAGCATATGATCTTAAAACACACATAACTGCCACTGTAAAAAGAGACAGTGACGCTTGGGGAGGGTTGTGTGTAGAGATGAAGTTTGTAGGTAATCATGTCAGTGTTATGCACGGCCCTGCTGTGACACTACATTTAAAGTAGGGCTTAAGAGATGGCCTTCTGATGCCCAGTCTGCCGCCCTGCTTACCCACTTGCCTTGATGTTGAGTCCAGCTGACAGAAACCTAAGAAGAGTGTTTCACACATGCTGAGTGAAGCCAAACCAAAGTAAACTGAGTTCTACCGAGCTGCCCTGGTTAGGGTTAGACATCAAAAAATTATCTGGGCCATTGCTGTGCAGATGGGTGCAGAAATAGTTTGGTTCACGGAGTGAAAGGGGTATGTGGAAGCACTTTAGTGACCTAAAAAATATGCTGCTTTGCCCTGAATCGTCTCAGCCACCAGCAGAAACCTTTAAGGTGATGTCCAGACGGAGCAACTGGAGTTAAATTTCCCTTCAAATTACTATCAACATTTCGACTCTCACTGAAAAGTCACTCCAGCCATCAACATGAAAAGGATTCAAAGGCTGCTCTGAAGGGCTCCCATGGGAGTCCTCACACAATTTCAAAGCAACTAAAAGGGTTTGCAGACAGACTTTCACCATGGGTGCCACTTTACCACACAAAAAAATCAGGGGGAAGACTACAGTAATGCCGTGTCCACCGAAAATAGGATAAACATAACTTCTCCGGGCTTATTGTGTAAGACCTGTAAACTGAAATTGCTTGCACCAACATGAGCTTTCCAAATGATCTAGTTTCCAAACTCTTCCTCTGCCACACAAGCAGCCTTTAATTACTTCTGCTGGGCCAGCACAGGTGAAGCACATTCTCACTAACAAGGTGGTTTCCAACCAGGGAGCACTGAAACCCAACAGGAAAACAACATGATGGAGAGGAAAACTGGCGCCCGCAATAGAGGGTAACCGATGCTTATAATAATCCCCCACCCAACTGATTTCACCAGCCACTGTCAGATCGTTACAGAGGAAACATGGTGCAAGCGGAGAGGAATCCAGGGAGGACTGTGACATTGCCTGAAAATAAAGTGTGGACTAGTTTCCCCACATAGTGCACGTACATTTGCCACATTGTGCCTATATGCATGCAAAGACAGCCCTTAAATCTCTCCAGTCAGATTCTTCAAACGGCTTCTCATTACACTGTGAGAGATCATGTCAGGTGTGAGCCATTATGACCTGAAAACAACGGGTGTGTTAAGAGGTCGACAAATGCAACAGTAATGACACATGTCCTAGTTTTCATTTGTAATTAAATAACTCATGATCTTTACATCATCAGAATCTGCAGTTAATGTATTCTGCCATCATTGTCTCTGCCCTTATTTTAGTAAGTCGGTCAGCAGCACAAACACAGGAGTGGTGTAACAGCACAGTCTAGTGGTGACTCTTTGTTATGGCACCTTGCTCTAGTTGCCAGTGACAGAATCACTCAAACAATCTTAATACTGTCAACGGCACACATGCTGGGATCCCATTCTTGTTATTTTTGCTGTAAAATTTGTCACAGCTTGCTGCAAGATGTGTTATATTTAAATGATATCTTACAACAAGAATCACAGTATGTTTAAACTGCTCAGAGTGGATATTTCTATCCTACAGTGGCTGATTCACAGCACTGCTGCAAAAGGTTTGTTTGTCCAAGGCCTCAAAGTTCAATAGAGGATGGATCTCATAACAAAAATAACCATGTAACTGCCCGTGATCCTCTGAGACCCAGCCTGATTTCACTCCACCAGCGAAGTGATTTCTATTTTGCTCCGACTCGGTGCGCTCTGCTGCACCGCCATAGATGGCAGAAGAATTCTGGATAACAGCGGAGGGGTCGTCGCAGTCACAAACGCGGAAGAGTAACATCTGGACGTGTGTGTGTGTGTGTGTGTGTGTGTGTATACATTCTCTCTTTGCTTACGTTTTAAACACTTCTGTGCCAGTATTCACACGTGTCCTAATGCAACCCCCTTTGATCTGTCAGAGTGTGTACTTATCATACTGAGGTGCTGTATGCTTTCCCCAGTGTGGCTTTTCAGCCCCTCATCCCCTCACAGCCTGTATGGCGTGTAAGTAGCTGGCATGGAAGCCCTTAAAAGCCTTAAAAGCCCCCCCCCCCCAAGTACAGAAGTTGAGCCAGGGATGTCCATTTGTCCTGACGTGCTTTGTGGAACAATTATTGCACATTAATTGTGCTAATGTCATAATGTCATAGCATTCAGATCAGCGCTTTCAAATACTCCACACGAACACACCAATGCAAGGGGAAGTGCAAGCAGTTACAAACACGGAGAACTTAGTTGCAACTCAGAGTTGGCTTTAAGAGCACTGAGTTCTGAAAGGCTAAGGCTCTGTTCCTAATCCCTCTCCCACTTTTCCTCTTCCTCTCCCCGACCCCCCTTTGCTCTCTCTCTGTATCTCTCCTTCTCTCTTGCAGGAGAATTCTGGGGAGATTTCTTACTCTTTCATTCCTCAAGGATGAAGCAGCACAGTGGACCTGTGTACTGAAACAGGTAAGTGCTGAATATCATGATGACCTTCAAACAAACACATGGACACACACATTCTTCCTTCCCTTACTGTCAAAAGCAGATAAGTTATGGGCTGGGCCGATGTAGGATTGAGGTTGGTAAAAGGCTGTGCCATGTCCGCTGAGAAAGACACAGAGAGGAAGTAGAAAAAAGAAATGGGTGGAATGTTGCGTCTGAAAACGAGAGCAAAGGAAGCACAGAGAGAGACTCATCCTGAGGGACAGAAGGAGCGAGTGAAGACACTGTCGACAGGATGAAAGTTTAACCAAACATCAGCTCCCCACAGGAGTGGCAAATCTGCTGCCGTCGCAGTGGACAGACTGCAGGGAAGACATGCAAAGAGACAGACCGGCAGACAGGACAAGACAGAGCGGCGATCCCCAGCTGTTTTTTAAAATGCTGCCTCTGATACATTATTGAATATGCAGCTCTCCAACGCACCGCTGAGCTTTCCTCTCATGTTAGCGCTCAAGTTCGCATAGCGTCACCATTCTAAATATAAAGCATTCGCTCAACCCTCTTCAGTTTGTTAAAAGATGCAGGGGCTGCACGTAGGCTGTGTGTGTGAGTGTGTGAGTGTGTTTCTCTGAGTGGCACTTTCCTTTTCTGAAGGCTGGCTGGAGTTTTGAGTCGAGTTTGTGTGTGACTCATTTCAGTAGCAAGCCTCTGCAAACTTCAAAAAACAAAAATAGATTTCATCAAACTCTTTGAAAGTATTGTTAGATGATGCACAGAGTATACTGAGGCGAGCCGAGTGCTTCACTGGGAGTCGCATGTACTGTACACTGAAGGAAGTGAGATGTTACCGAGGGGATTGATTTTAAATCAGACAGCATGTGGAACACGGCAGGTCTGCAATCATCTAGTGCAGCAGTAACTTAGTTTGCACAACTCAGCTACAACCCCTTTCCTAACTCCCGTTTCCCCACTTGAAAAGTTGATTTGGATGTTCTAAGGTCACTGTCCTAAGACTTTGTGTGCGTGGAGTACCAGGTCTGGTCTACAGGTGGCAGCAGAGCAACATACCCAGCAGGCATGTTTCTGTAGCAGGCTTGATTGGCCCATTTTTACCAGCAAATCCCAGTGTAGGCCTCCCTTCATTTATCTCGCTGTTTCATCCGAGACAGGATGTCAAGCAAATGATTCTTCATGGCCAAGAAAAACAGTGGAAAAACCAATCAATATGTTGTTTTTTTTTTGTTCATACATCAAGTGTGCAGACAAATTCAGACTAACATGAAAAACCTTGTCTTGTCCTATTTCAGCTCCCACTTTTAAACTTCATGTTCCAGGATGAACCATGAGCAAAGGTACGAATCTTTAACTTGACCTTATTTGTGCATTTGTGTGTGTGTGTGTGTGTGTGTGTGTGTGTGTTGATGAACATAAGCTTGTGAGCGTGTGTAAAGATGCATGCCTTCCTATCTGTTTGCGAGGATGCATCTGGGTCCAAGTGCTGCTGGGGGTAGTATAAGCAGTTGTATAAATGTTTGAGGGTGTGTGTCTCTGTTTTCTGACAGATGTTGTAACGACATGATTAGCCCTCTGGCTGCCAGTAGCTCTGTGTGAGGTTGCTATAGTGACTGTGGGTTGAGTGTTGGGGAGGCCAGAGTGGAATATGAGGGTGCTGAGGACGAGGAGAGGGGGTGGAATAGGAAATGAAGTGCCTGGCGCCTCCGGCCTGTGTGTGAGTGCACGTTTGTGTTTTTCCGCGTGCGCGTGTGAGTGCGTTTGTGTGCCCATTTATGTCTGTTTGTTTGTGTATTTCTACAAAGACTGCAGTGTTGAAGAGACACTTGTCTGTGTAATTGGGAATTTGATCAAGATAACTCACTCAAACACACAGTCAATCATGGACACACACACACACACACACACACACACACACGTTCAGCCTGCGTAGGAGCCACAGAGACAGGGATCCTGTGATGGCGCGAGCGTGGGCTGAGGGTAACCTGCTTTGCCTCACAGACCAACACCACGAGTTGAGCACTTCGTATCACTTATCACTTAAATTGCCGCGTCAATGGAGCTGTTGTACAAACTGGTACAAGCAAGAGAAATGACCTCTGCCTTTGTGAGAACAGGGACTGTAAAATCTTGGTTTCAAGCGCCAAGCAGCTTCAAGAGCACGGCTCAAGTTCAGTTTGCCTGTGTTCTAAGGAAGACCCGACAAAAGGGGTTGCATGACTAACCTGAGGGGTGCAGAGATTATTAACTTCCTTTTGCTTCTTTTTTGTGAAATACCAGACAGTTCACATCCTCAGGCCTCTAAAAGTCAAACTTTTAAAGGGACAGTTCATCCCAAAATCAAACATACATGTTTCCTTTTATCTGTAGCAGAGTCCTGTATCAGATTGGGTACCCATGGGTACCTGGCATGTGATCTAAAGAAAAGGTGACATGCAGGTGCTATTTTGTCTTAATTTTACTTTGGGGTTTGGTTCTGGGTGAAAAAAACATGCAGGTCAGATTGCTGGTGTTGTAAGAAAAATATATTAAAATGAAATGAGAATAATTATACTTTAATGTTTTAACATTTTAATCCTCTGACTGCTGACTTCGTGTATCGGCACTGTCTTCTTCAGCAGCTGGAGTATGAGAGCTGTTTCAAATAGGTGTGTTACTAACAGGCACGATAACTGAGGAGATGTACTGCTCAATATAATGAGAACAAGCAAAAAAAATATTCATTTAAGTTGTATTTTCTGAATTACTTAAATTTTAAACTATATTGTCTTGGTTTTACATGTATGAAATGGTCCAAAATGATCACCTTAAATGGGCTGCCTAACAGAATTAGTTGAACAGCTCATGGTTGTTATAGGATTTGCAGTTTTGGGTCAGGCTGCAGCTCTGGTGTAAGCAGGATAGGTCGGGTAATGACACTAATTGGTCATATGTGTGCAGGGGTGGCAAGGCGGGCGTGGTATTGCTCATAGCGGTTCTGTCTTGGGAGCAGGTCTTACAAATCAGACCCGTGCAGAACGTGCAGAAGCTCTATAGTGCTTTTTTTTTATTTTTATGGTGCGAGCTGCAGAGTGTCGGAGATATCGGCAGTAGAGATGTCTGGGATAGAACTCGGCTTGTGGTGCTCAAAGCACCAAAAGAATACATTTAAAAAACTCAACAGCAATGTCTCTTTCCAGAGATCATGACCTGGTTACCCCCCAGACTTTGCTGTGAGCAGTTTGATGTAGGAACTATTTTCTTTACCAAACCACAGCCACTAATTGTATCACCGTGCAGGAGGTAGTGTGCATCTACTCCTGGATGAGAGGCTCGTGCTCAAGAGAGCGTGAGATGTAAACATTAACAACGTCCTCCACGGCTGAGCTGTAACGTTAACTAGCTCAGTGGTGCCAGGTGAGCTAGCAGTAGAAGCACGCTTCCTTCTGCCAGGTGATACAGATTGCAGGTGTAGTTCGTTAAAGAAAATTGTTCCTACATGAAACTGTTCACAACAAGGTCTGTGGATTATCTTCAGTAACCAAGTCATGGTTTCTGGAAAGAGACATTGCTGTTGAGTTCTTCAAATGTATTTTTTGGTGCTTTGATCACTGCAAGCCGAGTGCCATTTAGTTCCATTATATTGGAGAGAAGGCAGACATCTCTACAGATGATATCTCCAACACTCGGCAACTCACACCAAAACAATCTAGACTGAAAAATAGCACTACAGGTAAGAGGAAAAATATGTATTTCTAATTTTGGGGCAAACTGTCCCTTTAAATGGTCACAAGTCTATGTATTAAAGGTTAGGAAGTCTTTTGGCTTGTCTAGTTGTCTGAAGGGATGCACAATTCAACTTTTTCTCTCCAGATTCCCCAACTCAAGATATCTTAGCTTGTACAAAGCACTGCTTCAAAACCTCTGCTCTCTTTTAACAAACTTAAAATCTGTATACCTCACTGTGTGGAACTCCTTTGAATATGTATAATGCAAGACAATATTAGCCCAGGGATTGCTGTAGCACTCAAAACTAAGTTGACGGCCCTCTGTGACTAAGTAGATGCATGCAACTGATATTAAAAACAGAGAAGAAGAAACTGTGTTAAACGCAGATGGTAACATCATGGCCAATGGCTGATCAATTTATTGAAGTCAGTGTCAGCACCAATACTGATCCAGCATCTTAGATCCATGCATCCCTAGTTTACAACATCCAATAAGACACCACTTTACTACTTTTGTTGGTTTATTCCATGGACATTCTGTTTTCTTTCATAGGCATCTGTTGGGGGCAGCTGTGACGCAGGAGGTTGTCCACTAATTTTAAGATTTGTTCGATCCCCAGCTCCTCCTGTATCTTGTCCAAGTTTGCTTGGGCAAGATAGCGCCGTATTGCCAAATTGCCAAATTGCTCCCATCGGTGTGTCACTTTGTGCGAAAGTTTAACCAAGTAGCAGGTGGCACATTGTACAGGAGCCTTGGCTTGTATGAATGTGTGTGTGCGTGACTGTTACAAGTAGTGTAGTGTAGTGTAGTGTAAAGTGCTTTGACTGGTTGGAAGACTAGAAAGGTGCTATACAAGTGCAAGTTAATCTAGCATTTTGGTTTGGAAGGTCATGTGTCTTTTAAAACCTGACAAAACTTTTATTTCTGTTAAAATATTGATTAAGAAATACCATTGAACATTTTCTTTTTTAATGAAACTGACATAAGTGATGTTCAAATCAAGAGCTTTAATGTGTGGTTTTGGTTTTATTTGCCGTTTAATCGATTTTTTGTTATTACCTCCACCAAGGAGGTCACGTTTTTGGTTTGGTCTGTTTGTCTCTTTGTTTGTTTGTCAACGAGATTTCGAAAAAAAAAACCTACTAGTCCAATATTCATGAGACTTGGTTTAAGGATGTAGCATGGGCCAAAGGAGAACCTTTTAAAATTTGGAGTGTGTCCAAACTCATAGGGCAGATACACAAATAATTTTTCACTTTCTTCCAAATACCCTATCTCACATCTCACACACAGATTATTTTGCAAAGTAAATGCTGTATCCTAAAATCCAGTAGAAGGTAGGAAGATTCAGTTGTGACAAAACACATCCAGTTGTAGATGTCCAATGACTGCATATCACAATCCACATTAATTAGATATTAATTTAAATTAGACTCAAGTACAGTTTTCTTCCTTATGAATACAAGGTTTGTTATGACAACTGTATTGCTGTTATTTCAGTGTAAGCATTGGATATTTGTACATGATAAAGTGTTTTCTGGTTTTCACAAATGCATGTATGTAAAATATTTACAGTTAGAAAATACATAATAAATGAAGAACTGAGAGGATGAGGTTTCAGCTTGGCTCAACCATACTTTGACATGATGTTAATAGTTTTATATATATCCAGACATACAGTACAGGCCAAAAGTTTGGACACACCTTCTCATTCAATGTGTTTTCTTTATTTTCATGACTATTTACATTGTAGATTCTCACTGAAGGCATCAAAACTATGAATGAACACATGTGGAGTTATGTACTTAACAAAAAAAGGTGAAATAACTGAAAACATGTTTTATATTCTAGTTTCTTCAAAATAGCCACCCTTTGCTCTGATTACTGCTTTGCACACTCTTGGCATTCTCTCCATGAGCTTCAAGAGGTAGTCACCTGAAATGGTTTCCACTTCACAGGTGTGCCTTATCAGGGTTAATTAGTGGAATTCCTTGCTTTATCAATGGGGTTGGGACCATCAGTTGTGTTGTGCAGAAGTCAGGTTAATAAACAGCCGACAGCCCTATTGGACAACTGTTAAAATTCATATTATGGCAAGAACCAATCAGCTAACTAAAGAAAAACGAGTGGCCATCATTACTTTAAGAAATGAAGGTCAGTCAGTCAGGAAAATTGCAAAAACTTTAAATGTGTCCCCAAGTGGAGTAGCAAAAACCATCAAGCGCTACAACGAAACTGGCACACATGAGGACCGACCCAGGAAAGGAAGACCAAGAGTCACCTCTGCTTCTGAGGATAAGTTCATCCGAGTCACCAGCCTCAGAAATCGCAAGTTAACAGCAGCTCAGATCAGAGACCAGATGAATGCCACACAGAGTTCTAGCAGCAGACCCATCTCTAGAACAACTGTTAAGAGGAGACTGCGCCAATCAGGCCTTCATGGTCAAATAGCTGCTAGGAAACCACTGCTAAGGAGAGGCAACAAGCAGAAGAGATTTGTTTGGGCCAAGAAACACAAGGAATGGACATTAGACCAGTGGAAATCTGTGCTTTGGTCTGATGAGTCCAAATTTGAGATCTTTGGTTCCAACCGCCGTGTCTTTGTGAGACGCAGAAAAGGTGAACGGATGGA